CAGCCCTCAAAGCCATGGAAATCTAAAAGAAGCTCCGACGGACACTCCCAAGAAATTACAGACTTGAGTCTTTTAGAGACTGGCACTAATTAAAGGCGAATGTCATGGAGAGGGCGGTGACCTGAACAACCATTCACCTCCCACACGGCACAATCTTGAGGTTCCATTTTACTTTTCATAATCTGCCGAAGTTGAAATAATCTAGATCTGAAATTTTTCAGACTTCAGTTTTCAAACTTCAAGTCGTATAATTGTGAAACTTTTTGGCCAGACAGAAAATTTTATGTGTGGAATGCCATTATCAAGAATGAGGCACATGAAGATCTTTAATTCTCACAATGGTCAGAGTAGTTATGACCCCCGTTTTCCAGAATAGTAAACTGAGTTGCACAAAAGAATCAGGAACTTTCCCAAGGTCACACAGTTTTTAAGTGCTGAAGAAATTTAAAGCTGGATCTGCTGAAGTCCAGAACATGGCTTAGTACCACTGGGGCTGTAGGCGGAAGCCCAGTAGATAAAATTGTGAGTTGGGGCAGGCACAGTGGCTCATGTCTGTAATCCCAGCACTTTGGGAGGCCAACATGGGATGATCACTTGAACCCAGGAGTTCAAGGCTGCAGTGAGCCGTAATTGCACTGCTGCATTCCAGCCTGGGCCACACAGCAAGGCTCCATCTCTAAACAATAAAAGTAAATTAAAAGATACAAATAAAATTATGAGTTGAGCTGCTCTGGTTTGAGTTTGGGTGTGTTGGGTTGGAAGAGGCCAGCTCACTGAGACTTTCCCTTGTGCCCTGTAGGACCCTTGGAGACCTTGATAGCACAAAAGCAGTTAAAAAAAACTGGAAACAAATGTCCTTCAACAGAGGAATGAATCACACCTTCTGGTATATTAATTCAGTGGAATACCTACTACTCAGTGATAAAAAGATATCATTTCAAAATAATTATGCTGAATGAAAAAGCTAGACAAAAATGAGAGCATACTGTGTGATTGCATTTACATAACTCTAGAAAATGCAAACTAATCAATAGTGACAGTAAGCAGATCAGTGGTTACTTGGGGGCAAGGAGAGGGTGGGAGGGATTACCAAGAGGTGCCAGGAAACTTTTTAGGTGATTAATATGGTCACTATCTTGATTGTGGTGATGGTTTCATGAGTGTGTGTGTATGTATGTGTATGTGTTAGATATATATGTATCTTAATTATACACTTTATTCCTTAGGTAGGAGACAGCAAAAAAAGTTTACACTTTAAATATGTGCAGTTTATTGAAAGAAATTATACCTCAAAAAAGCAGTTAAAAAAAACTTCAGCTGGGTGTGGTGGCTCATGCCTGTAATCCCAACACTTTGGGAGGCTGAGGCGGGCAGATTGCTTGAGCCCAGGAGTTCGAGACCAGCCTGGCAACATGGTGAAACCTTGTCTCTAAAAAAATATATATGTAAAAATTAGTTGGGCATGGTGGTGTGTGCCTGTGGTCCCAGTTACTTGGGAGGCTAAGGTGGGAGGATTGCTTGAGCCTGGGAGATGGAGGTTGCAGTGAGCGGAGAGTGTGCCACTGCACTCCAGCCTGAGTAACAGAGATCCTGTCTCAGAAAAAAAAAACAACGACACACACACATACACACACACACGAAAAACAACACACACACACACACATACACACACACACACGCCACTTCAAAATTCAAAAGACTTGCTCAAGCTCACTCAGCACGCTGATGGGGAGCCAGGCCAGGCCAGAGCTCCCCCTGTGGCTCACACCTATGTGAGGAAGGGAGCCTCCCCCAAATACAGCCCCCAGGCTTCACCCCATACTGAGGGCCAGGGTAGTTTCTCTCCAGTCATGGTAACGTGGGTACTGGACAAGCCAAGGCTCTGGTCACCAGGCAAATGGGTAGGTCAACAAAGCAAAGTTGGTGGGAGCTTCACCCCATCAAGCCCAGAAACAAGGGTTGGTTACTGGGAACACCCTAGGGGAGGCTGTACTCACAACCAGGGATCTTTGACAAAAATAGAAACCTGCTAGAAGGATTAGAAGAGACAATCTCTTCCTCCGTCAAATTACCTGGGCCAACACCTACTGAGCACCTACCACGTGTGAGGGTCTGCCTTAGCTCGCTCTCTTATGGAATCTAGGTAAGGATGGGATGAGATCAATGCAAGGGCATGACACACTAAATAGGCATCCCCCAAATGGTAGCCATGACTCATCAAATATTCCCTAAGTGCTTGCTCTGGGTGCAGAGGGAACAGATGCTTGGGCTGATCCTCGAGGCCAGGAAAGATACGTGGACAGAAAGCTTTGCCACAACACCGAAGTTTGTGAGATAAATGCTTTGAGGGCCAAGAGGAGAAATAAATTACTTCCAGCTGTGGAGAGGTTTCATGGAGGCTGTGGTATGTAAGGGAGGGAAAGGAATTTGTATATGGGGACAAGGGAGGCTAGTAGAGATCATTCCACTTACAGGGGGCAGCATGAACAAAAGCAAGGCACCTGAGAAGCGGGCTGGCTGGCTGCAGTGAGGAGTGAGAAAGCCTAGAAGGGTGGGCTAGGGCCAAGTGCTCGGGGAAGCCCCAGAGAAATATGTGGACACATCTGCTCCCCACCCCCACTCCTGCAGAAGCCTGAGCTCCGCTGTGTGATTCATTCATTCCATGGACAGCCAGCTGGGCTGCTGGCAGGCGTGGGAGCTTCCCTAATGCCTCTGTGGCCTTGGAAGAACAGAGCCAAGTGCCTCAGCTAGAAACTTGGATTTCAGCTGGGGGTGGTGGTGTAGAGAGAACTCAAAGGAAATGAACCCCTCTGAGAAGCACTCATTCTAAGAAGCACCAGTGTCTCAACTCTTGGGCGTTCCCAATGGGCCAGCCAGTCTGCACCAGACCTCCAGGGCAACTGAAAATGGAAAAAATCAAGTTTGTTCTCTCAGAGCCCAGAGAAACTTTTCTTTAAAAAGAAACTATCTTAAACCTCTTTGTGGATGGTCAAGTCCAGGAGACACTGCCATCTGGTGGTCAAGAAACACATTTACCTTGTGGGCTGGGAAGGAGTACCTGAACTCGAGGGGCCACAAAGGCAGAAATGGCCCTGAGATTTGTTTAGTACTTTCATAATGGGATGGAAATTATGCTTGCAATCAGTTTAGAGTTGAAATAAAGTGTTATTTCTGGCTACTAAATTCCCCGAGGTGCAGGCATTATGCATTGTGCAGATGAGGAAACTGCCCATGAGATAGATGAGGTGGCTGGTCCCATGTCTGAGCTGGTCAAGTGCAGAGCCAGGTCTTATTCCAGTCTCCAGCAGCCCTGGGTCCCCAGTAAGTGCCCAATAAATGGTTAAAGTGGTGATTCTCAACATGTGACCCACAAGAGCCTTTCAGAAGGCATATGAGGTTAAATTTAAAAGCTTCTGTAAGATGCCTTTTCCTCCTTAACAATTGTACGGTAAAGTTTTCCAGAGTCTAAATGAATGCAGTGACTTCATCTAGTCCCAATGGCTAATGGGATGTGTGCCTGGGTATTTTTGTTTTAAAAATTCCTGTTGTAATTTCTAATGTAGTATAACCCACATAACCAAAACTGTTTGATAAATTTTTATTTATTTATTTTTTTTTGAGACGGAGTTTCGCTTTCGCCCAGGCTAGAGTGAAGTGATGCAATATCAGTTCACTGCAACCTCCGCCCCCTGGGTTCAAGCGATTCTCCTGCCTCAGCCTCCAGAGTACATGGGATTACAGGCATGTGCCACCACGCCCGACTAATTTTTGTATTTTTAGTAGAGACGGGGTTTCACCATATTGGCCAGGCTGGTCCCAAACTCTTGACCTGAAGTGATCCACCCGCCTCAGTCTCCCAAAGTGCTAGGATTACAGGTGTGAGCCACTGCACCTGGCCAAGATCCTCAATAATTTTTAAGAGTATATAAGATCTACTCAGGAGGCTGTAGCAGGAGGATTGCTTGACCCCAGAAGTTAGAGGTTACAGGGAGCTATGATCATGCCACTGCACTCCAACCTGACTAGTTTCAACCTGACTCAGCCTGACTGGAATTCAAATTGCCATTGTGACAGATTTTTGACTAATGAAATATTTTAAAAATGAGTGGCAGCCAGGTGCAGTGGTTCATACCCATAATCCCAGCACTACGGGAGGCTGAGGCGGGTGTATCACCTGAGGGCAGGAGTTCAAGGCACTTTGGGAGGCCAAGGCAGGAGGATTGCTTGAGCTCAGGAGTTCAAGATCAACCTGGGCAACATAGCAAGACCCCATTTCTAGAAAAAAACTAAAAAAAAAAAAAGGTGAACTGGGCATGATGACATGTGCCTGTAGTCCCAGCTACTTGGGAGGCAAGAGTGGGAGTATTGCTTGAGCCCGGGAGGTCAAAGCTGCAGTGAGCCCTGATTGCACCACTGCACTCCAGCCTGGGTGACAGAGAGAAATCCCATCTCAAAACAAACAAAAAGCCAAAAATGAATCACTAATATTTTCTGAGTGATTTTTAACCAGCAATCACTGCTCTAATTGATTTATACATATCACTTCATTTAATCCCCACAACCACCATTTGCAGTAGATGCTATCATCACATTTTATGTCTGTGGACACTGAGAGGTTAAGTGGCCCAGCTGGGAGGTACTGGAGCTTGAACTCTATCCCAGGCAGTTTGTCTCCACAGCCTCTTCCCACTATTCCACTTGCCTTAACATTTGATAACCTTTTGTGCAATTCACCTGATAGACAAAAGTTTTTCAAAATATGAAATCTACGAAACCGGTGAAAAGAAAGGGGATCACTGTTCTGGGTCAATGCCTTTACTTTATAGGTGAGGAAAAAATGAGGTCCAGAGAGGGGAAGTGATTTGCTAAAGATCACACAGCAAAGAATCAGAATCTACAGGGTGTCTGACTCCCAGGTGGGAACTCTCAAAACTCCAACCTGAGTAAGCGTAACCACCTACATGTGAGCAAGCAACACCAAGACTAGGCAAGACAACATCTCCAACAAAAGCAGCTTGATTTTATTGCGGGGAAGCTAGGAAGGAATAGGACAACTGAGGGTCTCCACAGGAACACCATTGCCCAGCATGACTGCCAAGTCCCAGGTCTGTCTGGAAGCCAGGGGAGGAGGATCAGCATCCTAGGAAAGACGGAAAGTTAGGTGGAACAAAGGCGCCATCTGCTGTGGACATAGCGATATTGCAAAGGCAATAAATGCACAAAGAGGCAGGGGTGAGGTGGAAAACCTAGGGTGCAGATGCAGGGGCAGGACTAGAACCCCAATGTCCAGCCCTGCACACTGCTCCCATGAAGTCTGTTATACTCCCATGAACCTGTTATACTCAGGTTGGCTGGAACGCATTAACCTTGCTAAGCCAATCACTGCCAAAGCCCTCTTCTGGGGAATTTCCAGGGCTGCCAGGATACTCAGTCAACAGCACTCCCTGTCCTGTTACAGTTTATGTTGGAAAGGCAATGAACAAAAGCATGAGCAAATAAATCTGCCAAGAGTCAGATGATTAAGGTGACTTCAAAACCAATAAACACTCTATCTTTGAGGTTCCCAAGCCTGGCTTCAAGTGGGTCACTAAGGAGCCTCTTAGAGCAGACTTCAAAGACATGTTGCCTGAGCACGTGGACTAAAGCTGGCTTATTTGGGTGATTCTTACCGAGTACTGTGCATCTGAATTTCCAGGAGCCTTTCCATACAATACATGGTTACTGAAATATGTACAGATAAGATTGTATGATGTCTAGAAGTTGCTTCAAAACAATCTGGACAGGAGGGAGTGGGCATGATGTCTAGAATTTGCTTCAAAATAATCTGGGTGTTTCGTTACCCAGATGAAACAATGAGGACAGTGGAGTTTCTAATTCAAGATGTGTGCATTAGGGCTCCCCCACATGGGTATAGATAGCTCCGGAAGAGTTTTTTTCCTTCTCTCCCTTCATTCCTTCTTGTCACAGAGTGCTTTTATCAAAAAATAACAGGCCTTGGTGAAATAAACACTAATTGTTGGATCTGGGTGACGGGTACTTGGGGATTCATTCTATCACTCTACTTACATGTGTTTGAAACTTCCTATCATAAAAAATCTAAAATAAATAAAAAGTGCCATGAAAATTACTAAGCCATAGGAAGGAATGATTTACAGATACGTGATATGACCTGAATGAATCCTGAAAACATTATGCTACATGGAAAAAGGCAGACACAAAAAGGTCACATATAATGTAATTCCTTTTATATGATCTGTCCAGGGTAGGCAAATCCAGAGTAGTAGAAAGCAAATTAGTGGCTGCCAGGGGATGGAGAAATGGGTAGTGGGGAGTGACTTCTTAATGGATATAGGGTGTGTTTCTGACATGATGAAAAAGTTTTGAAACTAGAGAGAGGTGGTGGTCATACATTGTGAATGCAACAAATGCCACTAAATGATAGACTTTAGCCCATTTATGCCTAGTGTTCCATTATTGGAATGCTAAGCTTGTGGGAGTTATTTATATCCTACTGCTCAAGGTCATCACCAAGGTTTGATTTTTCACATAAAAAACTTTGCAATATTCAGCATAAATGGGTTAAAATAGTTAATTATTATGTCTTGTGAATTTCATCTCAATAAAATAACATGAGAAAACATGTTTTCTATGAGAAAAACACATTAAGCTACACATGGTTTACATCCAACAGATATTACTTTTTTAGTTAAAAAAATTCATATGCCCAGGCCTGGAGTTTCTAATCCAAGATGTGTGCATTAGGGCTCCCCCATGTATATTGCTAGTTCAGGAAGAGTTTTTTTTTTTCTTCTCTCCCTCCATTCCTTCTTGTTACAGAGCATTTTCATAAAATACAATCTTACAGGAAGCCCAATATGACACAGGGCTGTTTGGGAGCTATGGAGGGTCCAGAGCCCCATCCACTCACCCTCCCTACGAAACCCTAGGGGGTAGAGGAATGATGTAAGAAACACTGTTCTTCAACATGCTGGAAACAGCTGATGTTTTACTTCCCTAGAGGATAAGCCTTCATATGTGGAGAGATTGCACACCAATCCCCACAAGGCAGGAAAGCAGGTTGGAGGTGTTAGCCCCATTTTACCGATGGGAAGACCAAATCTCTGTAATGTAAAAAGTCCCCAAAGTCAGTGTGAAATGAGGACAGAGTTGGAATCAGAATCCCAGATTCCTCGTTATTCATCCTGGGCTCATTCCTGAATATGCATTCTATCTATGGATGGAAAGTGCATGACGAAAACAGATGCATCTGACATCTTGTGACTTGCATGTGATGTTACCACATACACAGAACACTGCCATGGCTCAGGTTCCAAATGTACGCCTTTGGGAAGGAGGCTCTCCTCAAAGAGGACCTACCAGTCAGTTGTGGCTGGCCTCTGTCTGCGGGGTCTCCGTGGGCCCATTCACAGGGACAATGCCACCAGTAACAGTTACAGGACCCCGATTCAGGATATCTGACTTTCTTCCTGCCTCTGCCACTCACCTGGGTGGGACTTTGGCTGAATCGCTTCCCCTCTCTTGGCCTCATTTTTCTCAGTCACAGTCAGGGCACCAAACCACATCAGAGATGTGGTGATCATTGTAATTCACGAGTCAAATGTGCTACATGGGCAATGGCAGCCAGAAGTGCCCTGCTGAGACTGGCTGGATCAATGAGTAAGGTCTGCCTGGTTCCAGAGTGAAGAGTGGTGGCACAGTGCCCCTTACTGCCTCACTGGATTACATAAAAGTGAAGGGAACATCTAGCTCAAACATGCTATTGTTTTTGTACCAGTCTGGACAGAGGGCATGCTCAGGAAGCTAACAGTTTCAAGTAGAGAGGGCGGCACAGTCTGAATTAACTCACTTGGTCAGGGTACAGGAGAATAAGGCCCAAGGCATAAGTGTCAACTCTGATGAGACAGTCAGTTTATCAAAGCCAGAGCCATGTGTGGTGATATGTGCCTACAGCTCCAGCTACTTAGAAGGCTGAGGCAGGAGGATCACTTGAGCCCCGGAGTTAAAGGCTATAGTGCACTATGATCACACCTATGAAGAGTTACTACCCTCCAGCCTGGGCCACATGAAACACCGTCTCAAACAAACGAACAAACAAAGGAGCCAAAATGCACTGCTTAGGGTCATAGACTGTAAACTTAAACCCTGCTATCCATGAACTGCAACCCCCAAGTCCGAAAGAGGACTCTGGGAGACTTTACAGTGCTCTGTCCACTCACAGGGGCTGTAAGAATTCCCTGAACTTGTGATTTGCATTAGACAATAATAAAATATTTGTAACCACTTCAAAGAAGGTAGACAGTGGATTGAAAAGAACCCAGGGGGCTCTTCTGCTCCACTCAAGCTCTCAGAGGCCAAGGTGTTAGCTCTGATGAGAGGTGTGAGCAGCAGGTTTGTTCAGCAAGTGATGGGGCATTACCCACCTGCCCGCTTTGGTCCATCCTGTGGGCTGTGGGGACCAGGTCCCTACTACTCGAGGCCAAGGTAGGAAACAGTCTTTCCTGTTTTCTTCAGGGTTGCAAGCAGAGTGTCCACGCTGTGCTCAGATTCAATGCAGATCTTCTTGTTGGGCAGGTCAATGTCATACTTAACGCCTGCAGGAAGAGGAAATGGGGTATGGGGAAAGGAAGCACAGACCCTCCCAGTTATAGCAAGAAAGAGTTCAGGCTCTAAATTACTACTCACAACCACCCTTGCCCTTTCCTGTAGAGCAGGGATTGGCGAACTTCTTCTGTAATGGGCCAGAAAGTAAATGTTTTAGGCACTGTGGGCCACATACGGACTCTGTTGTATATTCTGCGTATTTTTTTATAACTCTATTCTTGAACATACAAAAATAGGCTGTGAGCAGGATTTGGTCCATGGGCTGTAGTGTGCTGATCCCTGCTCTATACTAGGGCTTTTTGAGACAGAGACTCACTCTGTTGCCCAGGCTGGAGT